TCATAAACACAAAGTCGAGAGTATTTTCCGGAAATGGCAAACCTTCAAGAACGTTGTGTTGTAAAAAGCCAGCATTTATAAAAAGCGATTTACAAGAGCTATATATACTTAGGGGCGAGTCAGTAAGTGCATTTTAAAGAGAACATAGGTACATAGCCGTACATCTATAGAATGCATTTAGAGAGGTCTTTCTGTAATGCATTTTTTATAGCAACGTGCAGAACTATGTTTGGTGCAGAACTATGTTTGTCGCAGAAACTATGTTTATCGCAGAACTATGTTTATCACAAAACTATGTCGCAGAACTATGCTTGTCACATGATTTTACCAACAACCGACGGAAGTAATATGGTTTTTTTTTTTTCCGTCAAATGTTTACATAATACCTGCCGGATAATTATGTGCTTTAGTTAGATTGGCCAGAAAAGCAATGCATGTGAAAGAAAATATAAAACGTTGTTAGTCAACAAAGCCTGTTTAATAGTTCAATATAAATCAATATATAAGTGCATATACATAACGACAACGATATACATTTTGTACATAGTTTGCTATTAATCTTTATTTAAATATAACTAATATGTACTGTACCTCAATTAATTATAAACATGTTTGAATTTTGTTATATGTATTAGAGCCAGGTTTGATAATCTAATCAAATTCAGAGAGATATGTTTTCTATTTATACCATTTCTAAATAGGTGAATCAAGAAAACACCAAGATTTGTTACGATAGCAATATAAAAATTTTTTACGATAAATATTTTTTATTACATATTATATTATTTTCTTTATATTACGTATTATATATATTATTTTCTTTATATTACGTATTATATTATTTTCTTTATATTACGTATTATATTATTTTCTTTATATTACGTATCTTGATTACATATTATATATTATTAGCTATATACATACCTCATATCACACCAGAACTTTTTTAAAATCTATTCAGGACGAAGTGAACCATATATTCTAGATATATTCTAGATTAACGTACAAATATGATTGAAGCATTTATGTAATATGCGCATCGTCATATTAATCTACATATTAACTCTGTCATCTTTGCATACGTGTTTTTTTTATTAACATAATCAAACGTAAGAGTCTAGCA